TTACATTAATTTGGTTTAATTTTTTTTTTTTTTTTTTTTCTTTTTTTATAGTTGATCCGTCAAAACTTATCAATTTCTGGGTGACTTTGTTCACTAGGTTATCATATGCACGCGTTTACAGATTTCTTAAATTTAATTTACTTCAATTTGACATTTAAATCATTAATCAAGATCATCAAGTGGAAATATATATAGTCCCTTTTATTAAGGGATCCCTTAAATAATTTTATTTGAGAGACACCCTTTAGGGTCCCCTACAAAAAAAAATTCAACAATCCAAACCATCTATTTTTTGGTTTCATATAGATCATGCTTGTAAAAAAATTAGATAAATCGAAAACCGTCTATTTTTTAGTTCTACATTCATAGTTCTATATTCCCACTTGATGTTCTATACTGATCACAGCTAGCTAGAGTGCTTGTCACGAGCACATATATATATATGTACATATTGTTTCTGAATTTTGAGTTCTGACTTTTTATTTTGCAAACCCAACCTGTTAAACTCGATTTAGTTAACTAATAATCTGAGAAAATCACATGCTTAATTCTTCTTGCTTTGGTTTTCAGTCAAATTAGAATGGGCTTGTATATAACACAGCAAGTAATAATAACTGATGATAGGCTTTACGGGGGAAGGTCGGTCGTTTGGTTAAGCCTCAGATCTAATGCGTAGTTATCATAAAATATTTGCACTTGGTAGGTGCAGAAAGATTGGGTCTGATGTCTTGTGGTGCTCATACATCATGTAGGTCGTGTACGTTGACTACATGCATGCCTATGCCTAACGCGTTATCTCTCTGAAACTTCTTATGCAGAGAATTGAACCCATATAGATCTTCACCTAATAAATTCCATATCTTTTCTTTTTTGGTTTCAAATTAGGCCACTCTAACCTCTGGAATATTCAGCAAATTAAATAATATATAGGGTAGAAACTCCCTGCCATATAACCAACAAAAATATTATTGAATATATATATATATATATTTGTCTTCAACCAAAAATAAAAGAATATTATTTATATATTCTTCTGTTCATAGGTTTTGGACATGTACATGATGACCAATATTCCAGTAGGCGAACATTACCAACCCCAACGTTGACAAATGACATATGATACGACAGTGGGAAGACAAAAACGAAATGAATCGCGGACATAATGATTCATCTCGTAAAAATTAATTTTGTTCAGTTTAGGAAAACTTACGTGAGATTGTTTTTGCTAGTTAAATATAAAATGTGATTAAGAAATAATTACTTGTTATTAAATTTGAACGCACAATTATTTTCTAATTGGATTGTTCTGTCACTCAATACTGAGTCTCGTGACAAATATATGATCTAAACGGGTTGTTTAGCTTGCATTATTAAAAGGATAATAAAAATATATTTCTCTCCTTACCATATAAGTAGGAGCTACATTTCTGCCAATAGAAATGTGATATGTATGCATAAGTTTTTCGTTTTTTCTTTTTGTAAGTATCTCATTACAGGGAATGAGACAACGAGTACCATATAAAACCACGTTTAATTGGATCGTTCTATATTGGTTGACGTATGCGTGACAGCTGCCATAGCCCCCACTCTTCCTTGTCAAGAAACTAATAGGATCAATCTCAATTCTAAACTGCATTTTCCTTGGGATAAAGTCGTGCACGTTTACTTTATGAAATTCAATACCAACTTTATGTTCTCTAAAACAATAGTCAAATTGGCTTGATCACTTTCTATATATAGATACGAACCCCGTGACCCTATTTCACATTCCTCAAAAGCTCTCCCTTCTCCATTAATTAGAGCAATGGCTTCTAAGCTCTTTTCTCTTGTAACATTTACATCATTTCTCATTATTTTCAATCTCCTTAGCTCTCCGTCTTTAGCAGATGTCCCTCTAAACACTCCTCTCCCACCAGAAACAATCTGCAAATCCACCCCATACCCTTCTTATTGCATATCTGTTCTTCCCCACAAAAATGCCAATGTCTATGACTTTGGCAGGTTTTCAGTCCAACATGCTCTTTCCCAATCCCATAAGCTCTTTGATTCAATTGAAAAGTATCTTCAAAGTAGCTCAGCTTTGTCACAGCCAGCAATCCAAGCACTTGAGGATTGCAAGCTGCTTGCATTGTCAAACATTGATTTCTTATCAAGCTCCCTCCAAACTGTCAACAAGACAAGCGGTGTTCTTTCTAGCTTGGATGCTGATGATGCCCAAACCTTGCTTAGTGCCATTTTAACCAACCACCAAACTTGTTCCGATGGGATTGAATCTCTGCCATCTTCAGCTGGGAGTGCCATCAGTGATCTGTCGGTTCCAATTTCTAACAACACAAAGTTGTACAGTGTCTCTTTGGCTCTGTTCACCAAGGGTTGGGTGCCTAAGGACAAAAGTGGGGTGCCAAAGCGACCCAAGAGGCAATTCAGGTTCGGAAAGGGACGGTTGAACCTGAAGATGTCAAGCCAAGCTCGCGCAATTTATGACGCTGCTATCAATCATCGGAGAAGAAGGCTTCTTCAGGTAGGAGATGAAGAGGTTTTGGTGAAGGACATTGTGGTTGTGAGTCAAGATGGAAGTGGAAACTTCACGACCATCAATGAGGCCATAGCAATCGCACCAAATAACTCTGTTGCTAGTGATGGCTACTTCTTGATATATATCACTGCCGGTGTATATCAAGAGTATGTGTCAATTATATCGAAAAAGAAGTATCTGTTGTTCATCGGAGACGGTATCAACCAGACAATCATCACAGGAAACAACAGTGTAGGAGATGGCTCGACAACTTTCAACTCTGCTACTTTAGGTGAGTTAATTCAAACATTCATACTAAAAACGTCATTTTCAGAACCGCACATTCAGACATAATTAATTCAAAAAACATTAGTGGTTTGATTTGATTCCAAAGTCTGTTAATAATGGTTTCCAATTTATAGTATGACAACATATTAGATTATCTTAGACTTTTTTTATATTAAAAAAAAACTAAATGTTTACAATTGCAAATATTTTATTGATGATTAATAAGCTAATTAACTTCATGATCAATATTGCAGCTGTGGTGGCAGAAGGGTTTATGGCAGTGAACATTACTGTTCGTAACACCGCTGGACCAAGCAAAGGGCAAGCAGTTGCACTCCGAAGCGGGGCAGATTTGTCAGTTTTCTATAGCTGCAGCTTTGAAGGCTACCAAGACACCTTATACACGCATTCTCTCAGACAATTCTACAGAGAATGTGATATCTATGGAACAGTTGATTTCATATTTGGTAATGCTGCTGTTGTTTTCCAAAACTGCAACATATATCCTCGTCAGCCTAACCAAGGGCAATTCAATCCCATCACTGCTCAAGGTCGAACCGACCCAAACCAGAACACAGGGACCTCAATTCACAACTGCACTATTAAACCAGCAGCCGATTTGGCCTCAAGTAACTTCACTGTCAAGACCTATCTAGGAAGGCCATGGAAGGAATATTCAAGAACAGTTTACATGCAAACTTTCATGGATAGTTTTATAGATCCTGCTGGTTGGCATGATTGGAGTGGTGATTTTGCACTGAGCACATTGTATTATGCTGAGTACAATAACACAGGTCCTGGATCCAGCACTGCCAATAGGGTTACATGGCCTGGTTACCATGTGATCAATTCAACTGATGCTGCGAATTTCACAGTTTCCAACTTCTTGCTGGGGGATAATTGGTTGCCTCAAACTGGTGTGCCTTACACTGGTGGCTTAATTTGAGCAACTTAATGTTAAATTTATTGCGGTGTTTGTTTTTTTTAATGTCTTTTGTTTAAGAAGCATCAAAGCTTCCAGCTTCTGTAATTCAAGTTTTTTTTGTAAACTGTGGAAAGCAATATTTATTTCTTCAAATTGGAACATGTGTATGATTTCTTCATAATTAGAATAAAACTCTTTTGCATACATGGGTTAGACCAATTGGTCAGGGTGTAGTGAGCCTGCCCGCTCGACCCCTTTGCACCCAAATTCGAATTCCCCCTGCCCCCCAAAACATTGTAGATTAGACGAATTTAGATTATCGTTTGTATTTATAAAAAGAAAAGAAAAAAACTCTAGCTATAGGTAAAGGCATTTAATATTTTGAGAGCCAAAATCCCCACCAACTTGTTGTTGTGTCCTTCATAATAAAGCATGTTTGGTATAGAAGACACCTCAGAAGCCATACAACAAACATGTTTAATAAGAATCTTAATTAGAAATTTAAATGAGTTTTAGCTAAAGTGAAGCAATACCAACCCAAAAGTCGCTTTGTATGTTACAACAAACAAACCCTTATGAGCGCTTTCATAGGGGAAATTACACTCCATGCAATAACATATAAACATGCATGAAACATAAAATCAATGGCCAAACTCATTTCTCGTGCCACCGAACCATTTTTTTCTCCACCAAACAAACTTTAGCTCCATCCATCTTTTGAGACCTCTCGCTTCTCTCTCTCTCTTTCAAAATCTATCTGTAACGCGTCCCTTATATTCTTCTTCCTTCCCTAGCCATCTCCTCCAGCACCCCATCCCCAATTCTTCTCCCTCTTGTCCCTCCAAAAAAACAAAAAACCCAAAAAAAAAATACAAACACCTCCCTCTGTAGTCCTCCTTCCATGAATCTCTGATCGGTGTGGTGTGGTTTTCGCGATGTCTCGCTAATTTAAATGTATAAATTATGACGAGGATGAGCAAGTAAGCGAAGAATCACATCCACCACTGATCTGGGAAAAATTAAAGAGAAATGGAGGTGCAGAGGATGAGGCAGCTGATGTTGTTATGGTCTAGAATACAAAGCAACCGCGTGGCCCTCGTGGGTGGGAACCACACCGCCGCCCGATTTTGCACCCGCTAAGTATTTTGCCTCTCCGCGCTATTTCTCCCTCTCCCTCTCTGCCCTACCAAAAAAATCAAATTTCTTCTCTCTTTTGTCATCAAAATATAATCTTTCATATTAACTACTTAGAAATTCCCAAATTTTGCGACAATGGCCATCAACTTGGTCCAAGGTTTCCGCACCAAGCACCACCCGAAACACGCTGCTTCGATCGGGTTGTACCCGGATGCCAAGTACTTGGTTATTCGGATCCCAGACTCTAGAGCATTGATGATCCTTAGCCGTTCTTTGATTCTGGCTCTCTGCATAGTCTCGCTGCCGTGTTTGAATTCCCTCCTTTCAACCGCAACCACTTTTTCTCCAGAAATAACTACCTCTGACGTCATGCGCCCCGTTAATATCGGGCTCCTGCCTTTGATCTTCCGCGACTTGGCCAACGAAGGCCTGTTCAAGAGAGGCACGCATAAGGCTGTTTTTGTGAGCGGCCGCCGAGACGAAGAGGCTGTCAAGAGATCAGAGATCCTCGACGTTAATGAGATGGAGCTTATCGACGCTGAAAAACAAAGCTCAATCCCTGACAACTCAATTGACTTCGCCTTCGTCTCTTCCTTCCCCACCGCCTCTAAATTCCTCGAAAGGACCCTTAAAGTTGGCGGGATCGTCGCGCTTCAGCTTAGCGACAACCCCGCCAGCGGCTTCAAGAAGCCTGAGAATTACAAGATGGTGTACTTGAGGAGGTTCGACGCGACCGTTTTGGCCATGAGGAAGACCGGAAAGGCATCCGAAACGACTTCTCCCACCCGGAGACGGCTCTTCGCCGAGGAGGCAAAGAAGGAAGCCTTGAAGAATCTAGAAGACGTGCTTCTCGAACCCCCAAGAGCCTCGTCCTTGAAATCGAGAAGGTACTTGAAGCGAACAAGGTATCTCCCGGATTTGATGGGTGACTCTCTCGAGAGCTACCCTCGAAGGGTGTTCATAGACGTAGGATTGCCAGAGAAGGAAGGCGGGAGCGGGACGGGCTGGTTCGCGAAGAACTACCCGACCCGGAACAAGAACTTTGAGATGTACAAGATTGAGACGGTGACGGAGGAGAGCTCCGGGAAGGAGGTGGTTCAGACCGGGATGTCGGAGTGGCTGAAGAAGAACGTGAAGGAGGAGGAGTACGTGGTGATGAAGGCGGAGGCGGAGGTAGTGGAGGAGATGATGAACACCAAAGTGATCAAGTTGGTGGATGAGCTTTTCTTGGAGTGCAAGCCACAGGGGCAAAATGGGAAGAAGGGTGATAATAATAGTAATAGTAATACTAACTATGTGAGAAGTCGCAGGGCGTACTGGCAGTGCTTGGCTTTGTACGGACAGCTTCGGGACGAAGGTGTTGCGGTGCATCAATGGTGGGGTTAGACAAAAAAGAATAAGTTTTGAGCCGGTGAGAGAGAGAGAGAGAGAGAGAGAGAGAGAGAGAGAGAGAGAGAGAGGGGTAATGATATAGAAAGCAAGTAAAATCTCTGTTTTGTTTTTATTATTTTTCTGATGCGTCTTTTATGTTGGTGTGTACTAGTTTTATGGATGGACCTGGAGTTTATATATGATTCGTCGTCCTGAAGAAGAAGAAGCTTTCTGCAGAATTATGACGACGACGAAGACCACGATGGGTTTGTAACATGAGGGATGGTTTCAACTGAGAGTTGGAAGGGTGTTCTCCTATTAAACAAACCAAAAGGAAACAGAGATACACATATAGAGTGTGTTGTTGCTAATTCTTTCATTTAATCTTGTACTTGTATATCAATGTGGATCAAGATTCAGATCTACTCAAAATGTGTATGAATTGAAATCATGGTTACATGCTAGAGAGAAATTTCAAATTCTTCTCAATATATGAGGCATCTATTAAGCTTCTTTATAGTATATATATTCTATGAATTATATGAAAATGATTATTAAGTTTATTATATAGATGTTATATCTTGTGTGGATTTACATGCTCTACTTTCAATTTGATGATCATATGTTGAAAGAATCTATTGGCTATGGGGATCCCACCATCTAAAGGATAGCTAGAGAGAAATTTTGCTATGAATAATGGCTTTAGCCAGGCTAAGTAACACTTTTATTGAGATATATGAATGCATTATGTTTGAATTTCTTCCCCTCGATATATATTTCATTTAATTTGATGAGATTTTGAGTTCAAATCTCATAAACGACAATTGTCAAATTAAAATTTAGAAAGTTACAATTTTCTCACTGTAGATTGTATAGCACATTTAGAATCCACAAATGAATACGACAATTGTATCGTTATGTGTGAATGTCTAATTACTCGTTTCAAAGATTGCCTATGCCTTGGCCCATATGTAGTTTAGTACCCAATAATTTTTCCATTCTTTGGCATGACTCTAGCTAGTAGCTTGGTTTGTGAACATTCATCCATACAAAATAAAACCTTATCAAAGCTCAAGCAGTCACAATCAAAACCAAAAGCTTACACCAGCAGGCCTTATCCTGCTTTTCTTATTTGTCACAAGTCACACCACCTATTTTTGCATCAACGCGACAAATTTAAACACAGCACAAAGAGACAAGACACACCAAAAAGGCCTAAAAAAACCTAGTTAATTACAATTCTCACGGGCTATGCCCACAACAGAGTTGGCAACATCAAACAAAATCCTGAGGTTCTGCTGCTGCAAGTTGGCTATCACGTTCAGCACTGAGTTCACATTATTAGGCGCAGCAGCCATTGCCAAGCAAGCTACTGACCCTGAGCTGCTGTGAATCAAGCTGTTCTCCAATGGCAATGTCAACTTCAAGCCTGTGAATTGGAACGTGATGGTTGGGGCCACAGCTTCATTGGTTGCAGCAAAACAGGTGTCGAAGGCCCCCAATGATGAAAATGTACCCTGCACTTGCTTTCTAAATTCGTCCCGCAGTGCGGTGTAAACGGGTTGCACGAATCGAGTTATGACCGTACCCGAGTCTATTATGGTTCCAGCTCCTGTGTTCTGGTTGAATGCTAGAAGCTCCGGGGCAATAGGTACGGGAACCCGGCCCACAGTGATTCCAGTGAGGTTGACGTAATACAATGAGGGCCGGTGCGGGTTTCTTAGAAGTGGGGTGGTTCGGATTGATTTGGGTTGGCCTGCTGGGCCAAGTTTAAGTGATCCGGAAAAGTAGTAGGATTTGAAACTCGGTAAACAATATGAAAACACACCCGAATAGAGTGACCCAGATTGTGAGAGTAGTGACATGGATCCACGACCCAAGCCCAATAACCCTTGGGACGGGACAGACCCACCTGAGATGGAATTGATGCATCCAAAAGAGTATTTTGGAATAACATCATTGCCTAATCTCAAAGCATCTTGTACAAGGGTGGCAGAAAATGATGAATCTCCACCGTACGATTGATTAAAGAAGCATTCATTGGCTCCAGGAGACCCAATGGCCGGGCACGAGAGACCCCGGGCCTGGGCACACTCAGGCACGGAGCAATCCAACGACTTGTAAGTAGTCGAAGAGTTGGTCAAAAAGGTGGTAGCGGAGCACCCAGTGCACCCGGAACATGGGGCCCAAGCAATGTCATTGCTAGTGTCAAGGACCATGAACATGAGCTGGCCTGGGGTACCGAGCTTGAGCCGGACCACGTAGTTGGCAATGTTGAGGACCTGCTGGCCCGAAGCAATTGGAGCCGAAGTGGTCTTTTGGGCCACTAGGGTTGACAAGTAATTGACCCTTGCTGGGTCTTTGGAGGCCATGTTGAGTACTGTGGTGACCCAAGAGTCTGCCTTGGGTGGGCTGAAGGGAGAGCATTTGCTGTAGGTGGGAATGATGGAGAGGTCTTGTGAGCCGTCGGATTGGGAGGCACAAGGGTCTAGGGCTTTGGTGACAGAGATTAAAAGAGCAAAGAAGAAGAAGAAGAAAAAGAAAGGGGTTATCTTCAAGTCCATGACTTTGGTTTGTGTGTGTGTGTCTTAGGTAGTGAGACCTATATATAAAAAGTTAGATAGGTGGAGTGAAATTATTGTAGGCACATATGGAATTATTGGCAGTTGAGAATTTACAGGTTATATCCTAAATGAGAAAGACTTGGATAATAGTTGGTTTTGTGATATTTTACAACGGAGATGGAAGCATGTGAAAAAGTAGCTAAGATATGGGACCAGGGCTAAGAATAAACCCAAAAATGATGAAAATGAAAACCATGGGTCGTTTCATAATAAGGAGGGAGCAAGTTGGAGTGTCAGTGTACCCTGTGGATAAATGACAAAGTTAGTATCAAGCTCTAATTGGTCCAAAGAATGTCACTACTTTCATCATGTATAATGTGTTAAGGTAAATTCAAGACCGCAAATTCTGAATAAATGCAGTTACATGCAAAACCGTATATGTCATATAAATTCAAATATTTTATAGGTTGTGAGAGTTCGAATCTAGAACGTCTGAGTTTACAGCTCGTCTCATACTTATTTAAATGGATAGTTTTTTATAAACTTTTTTACTAATCAATTCTTGGGATATTAATGATTTTTTGGCAATTTATTCTTGGTATTGTCTGAATCCCATTGTGAGTTCCAGCTCATTCGTAATCGTAATTCAATTTTAAAGAAACCACGATTGGAGGAGGCCTGGAGATAGATGGGTGACAGCACCTCAAGATATCTTTTGTTTCTTGTCCGTACATGGGCCGATCCAGGGATCCGGTCGGTCGGTCACGGGGCTGAAGAAGACTTTCTTTCTCCTGATGGACCGGGTCCACTCTCTCAAATTCTTCTCTGTAAGCAGAGAATCAAACCAAAAACAGATAGGACGTGGCAAACAGGCACGTGACGCAACCCAAGTACAGTGAAAAGCTTCAATTTGTTTAAAACTACTTGAACAAATTGCAAAATCAACTATGCTAAACGAACAAGTTGTAGACAATAAACAATAGACAACAGGAATTTGTCCTTACCAATGCTTTCTCACACTTACCCAACTATAAAAAATTTAAAATAAAATAAAACAAGAGCCTCCTTTATATAAGTAGTCAGGCACGCACGAAAGTAACTGTCAACTGTTATATAAGTAATCATGTAGATGACTGACACAAACATAAGTCTTTCTTTGAAAAATTTCACAACGGTTCGTAAATGAAGATAGGAGATTCAAACTATTTTTGTTTGTTTTTTTCACTTTCAATTTCCAATTTTGCACCTTATGGTTTAGCCTTGCGCAGTATTCTATATGCCCCCTCAATATCCTGCATCGGTTGTAAGAAGATTGGTGTATGAGTTTTTTTAATTTTAAAATAAGCGATATTGAGAGAAAGGAAATTATTGTTCTTAATCACTTGAATTATAAGCCCATTGATATATCATTTTCGCATAAAGCTGTACAAACCCGAAAATAAAATAGAAAAAGAAAGAAAAAAACAACGGATAAATGAAGCTGGCTAAAATGACACTGACTCAGTGAGAGAGCCCACCATACTCACGAGATTTTACTGTTCAATTGATTGCCATAATAAAGGAGAGAGCACAAGACAAGATTGCTTTACAGGCCAAACCAAAAAATAAAAGCGTAAAATTGCCAACAGGCCCAGGACCACTAACATTCCACTTATTTAGGGCATTGGTGGACCACAGCCTCCAAGATGTTACAATAATTTCCAACTGAATGCACAATGATTTGGATTTCCCTTTTGAGAGAGAGTAGGGGATCTTGAGTTTACAGGTGCTCTCGTGAACCTTGTGAATAAACTGAATCCACAAAGAGCAACGCTAGTTGTGGTGCAAAGATCCAAAGGGTGAATTGGGCAAAGGTTGGTTGAGAGTTTTCTTGCAAGTCCCAGTTGTATACGTGTTTTCTCGGTCATTACCAACCTAGCACGATGAAAGAGACAGACATGTAATGTACATAAAGGAAAGAATTACTTGGTTGTAGGATCCGACCATACTAATCTACAAAAAGAGCCAGAATCTTGTAAGCGTACATCAGTTCTCTCCTGTTTCGCAATTTCCGATTCATCCAAAAAATATCTCTCCTGTTCCGTTTCGCAATTTCCCAACACTAAATAAGTCTGATTTAGAATTTTCCTTTTCTTGTTTTTCCCTTGCATCAAACTCCAATGTATTGTTACTACACGGATTCTTGACGAGCTTGCAACACTTCAAAGAAATCGTATTCTAGTATTGCCAACATCAATACTCAATGCAGAGATCTTAAGGAAAGCACATAACTGGTGCGGGTAAATAACATCTCAAGAAACCATAGCATATCTTAAAACATCAAGTTCTGTTACTTTGACTTTATTGCTACTCTATACAACATTGAATATTCACAGTTTTTTTTTCCTTTCAACGAAACCAAAAAAAAACCTACCTTGCTGTAATTTCCTCCTAATATTAACACGGCGTGAAAAGATAATAAAAGATGGTCAAGAAATAACCTTAGATTGCAACAGCACACTCAACATAAGAACAGTATTGGTCAAAAACTCTCCATATTAACAGCTGATCTTGATCAGCAGTTGCACAACAGGATAACAGATGAACTGAAGCTGAAGCACAGATCAAAAAAATAGATGAGTTCCAAAGAAACAAAACTAGCCATATATAATTTCACAAATAAGGATGTCAAGTAACAAGTGAGTTATGGCATAAAAACAGCACAACTATGGTTCATAATGAATGAAAAATCTATAAATCAGGTATGTAACCTCTGGTGGGAAACATGTTCTAAGAGCGGGATAGGAACTTCTAAGAGTGAAATACAACCTATATGCATCAATTTCTGCCTATGAAAAGCATACAACATTACTGCATTAGTCCTTTGTAGTTCCACAAGGAGCGAAAACGACCATATAACTTTGGTACTACTACAAAGTAACAGTACCCACACAATAAAAAAAATTTAAAAATTAAACAATTAAAATAAAATAAAATAAAATTGATGAACAGTATTTAAGAAACTTATCAATTTGATGAAAGAAATATTGGTAAGTATTTAAACAAATTGCACTACATCCTGATTCTACAATTTAATAATTATCACTCTGCAATAGGTTCTTAGCAGCTGGTATGAAGTATTCAATGCCTCAACATCCCTACAAATGGAAAACCAGAGTCTTGAATAGGTCATGAATTTATGAATACAGAAGAAAAAAGATGAGAAAGGAAGAAACCAAATTCAAATTTGGTTCAACGCAGCCACAAATCAAGTAACCCAACCTCACATCGAATTTCTTTAATCCTTTATTATCAAAACTTGTTATGAACAATAAAAATCAGAGGTTTATTTTAGCTTTCTTCTTAATACCTCCGGTAACAAACAGTACTTAAGAACCAATAACTGACCCATAATGCACACAAGCGCCATCTCATTTAAGCAAATAAGCATCTAAATATATTTGGATTGCAACCATGACTTTCAAATAAAACATAGCTTAAACCATCCAACCTATATTTAACCTTGTTGAACGCTGAATATAACCATACACCAGCAGGGAAACCTAAGCAAGAAACAGCCATAGCAGATTCCACACAATTCACTTTCCTCATTCATCATCCATGCATAACTTAATCTAAGATGTATCATGAATCCCTGAATTCTACAGGTTTAGCATGTCCAATGCCACAAATAATGCACCATGAGAGTGCCATTTATCCTCTACTTACTACAGTGTCAATCTCCCATCTTGATGCAAGGGTGATCATCTTGAAGTAAATCAGCTAGGTTGATAATCGTTGCAACTTGCATGTACTTTTAAATTGCAGGAGACACTCCATTCCATGATAGACTAATAGCTTATGAGAGCACAGGTTCTAATAAAACTCTCAGAAACCAATTGGCTAATGAGATATGAGTCATCTATGATATTTCAGTTTCCAGGTTCCCAACTAGATAAATCTGTCAACCTTTCCAAAACTATCCATCTCTTGATGGATATGCTTCTGCATGGGATCTTCCAATTAGAATACTGATGACAAACCTAGGGTCGGTAACTCACCATGTGCTTAAGTCAAAATGTAGGAATAATTCATTTTAAATCTGATAATGTGTCCTACCAGAGTATAATTCATTTTAAATCTGATAGCATGTACTACTACCAGAGTATAAATGTTGAGACACTCCATTAAATAAAATAGTCGAAGCAAAAGTCTGAATCAAAGTCATTTGATTTAAAGGAAAGAAAAGATAGACCTTGTCCTTCAACCTGATCAGATGGTACATACACATCTTGGGAACTTAAGACTGACCAGATTCCAGAGCAAATTGAGACTCAAAAGAGCTCAAGAGCACAACCACATGCCCTCACGCACAGTGCATGGGTAATGATAATGAATAAAGGTCAAGATTATATTGCAATGATAAAACATTCTGTGCAAGCATCTTGCCACAGCATGGACAGCTTGGAAGAGTTTATAAGTAATGGAATATTAAAAAAGAGTTTTTTTATTTTTTTTAAAAAAGAAGAAAGAAATGCTAAAGGAAAACAAATGAGGATGAAAATGCATACCTTTTTCTTATCAGGAAGCCACCTTTCCCTTGACGATGATGATTGGACATTGCACATGGTTAGCGCAATAATTGCTTACACTTCCCAGAAACATCCTGTGTGCACAGTACAAAAAGTGAATGCTGTCATGTTTTAGGCTTTTAGCAAACCGAAGGAGTAGAATGGACGTGAATCATACTTTTATCTCACTAATTGAAGTTACGGTCTACACAGAGGTAGTGGGTCTAGTGACTCTATCTGTTTAGTGTCTTCTCCTGGGCTGTAAATGTCTATATAGTTTACATGGCCCATATTGAAAACAGAAGAAACCAAAGACTCTAATAGTAAACAGGTAATCCTCTTAAGTTCAAGCCTACTATCACCATGTCATACTCCTCCCATCTGACACAGTCAAAGGGATGAAGCATAAGGTAGCAACTCTAGAAGGAAAACATGTTGCCGACAGGACTCTAAACACTATAAAGATAGTCCATTACATAGAAACATGAAAGCACAAGCTTGCTGAAATAGTTTCAATAGCATATACACCTCGTAGAAGTGTTCAAGCTCATCAACTTCTTTCAAGATAGAACTCAGACATTTATTCTATGACCCTTTGATAACCCAGCTGGAACCCTCCTGCCTATGGTTCTCAAAGACCTCAAGGTCCCTCCTTCAGCAGTACTCTTGGCTCCACCATGTTCAAGTAGTAGCTCTAGACTAGTTATATGGCTCCTATGTAACATTATGGTGCCAATGTGTAGTTTAGTCGTTTCATTAAATTTGAAAAGAAACAAAATCATTACCTTTTTAGAGGACCAAAAGCTCTGGACCCCATGACAAGCAAATCAGCATGCAAATTCTCAGCAGCTTCACCAATTTTCTCCTTCGGATCCCCAACAACCACTTGGGTTTTCACATTCACCTACGCCCCAAGGGCCAAGATAATATTTTTCAAAACAAAAATTGATAAATTGAACCCTCCAATTAAATCAGGTCTTATGTCTTATCAGTAAAGCAACAGGCTTTAAACCCTGAATAAACCCTAACCTTCTTCTCGGAACAAATCCTCAAAGCGTATTCCATTATGGCCTCCGTGATTCGCCTCTGGTGCGCCTCGATCGCAGCGTTGAACGCAGGCACCTCCACGTCGCCTAAACCAATTTTATCGAGAGTCAATTCATTAATTTCAGGCCACCAAAAAAAAAGTCCATGAATTCATTGAGTCAAATGCAAACGGTGGATTGTGGTGGTGATTGTGAGGGGAAAGGGATGGAACTTAACTGGGCCCACCGAAAGGAATGGCGGGGGGGCTGAGGCCGGCGGCGATGGACGGCGGAGATTGGACGTGGAGGACGACGAAGTGGCCTGCGGAGGTGGTGGAGTCGGGGGCAGGGGATCGGAGCTTGAGGTTGTCGAGGGCCCAGCTCAAGGCGTTCATGCTCTCCTCGCTGCCATCAACGGCCACGATCACGCATCCGAGGTTCCCAGCCATGAATGATTTTTCAACTCAAATTTGACCGGCGATGGCTCTAAAAGGAGATGTCTACCTTCTACTCTGTTTTCGAACCAAAAAAAACCTTCTACTCTGATACGACTTCCAGTCCCACCAAAATTTTCAGTTAACAGAAAAAATTTCATTACCATTTTTTAATTATCAATATTTATATAATAAATTAGTAATAAAATATCAATATATTGATTGAGAGAATTGAAATCAAACTTGATGCACAACACAACAGGCTGGTATGTTATACAGAAAACTTCAGCCGTAGAAACAGAAAAGTATTCATTAGAAGTTCCAGGGAGAAGATGGTAAGTATTTTTGTATATGATGAATACATTTCTGTGAAGGAAAATGCTAGAGAGACCAACTTTAGAGACCAATTTGTGGATCATCTCTTTAATAGAGCGTATGACCCATTATATTGATGGGCTTCACTTCTATTAGAGAGATGGTACACAAATTTGTATAGTTAGTCTCCCTAACATGACCCTTATTTCAGTGGTTTGCTTTTATTCAGGCAAGAAAATTATCACTCAGTTTTTCTGAAACGTGGAGAGTAGGCGGTTGAACAAAAACAAAGAGAACCCTAAAGGCATCATCATCCGGCCATGAACCGATATGGCAGAAGCTCCACATGCGAGTTCAATGACACCATTGCAGTCAAGCATAAGGGACATTAGAAGGAAACATCACAGGTCCCTGGAAAAATAATTTCATCTTCTTCCTTTCAGGCTCCATATTTCGCCACTGAACAATGGCCGTATACAAAAGCTATTTGATAAACCCTAAAAATGATTAGCAGCGATGCACATTATGATTGACGAGTCACAATTACTCTTACTCTCCTGCAGAAGGTGTGATCATCAACCCTGTAGTATGTTCTTACAAGCAAAGCTTCTAAATTGCGTTCAACCACAAAACCTAAGAGTATAAAGTTAGCGAAAGACAAGATCAAGCATAAAAATGAAGTATCACAGGTAATTTATGAAACAACAAATAAATTAAAAGCTTGCATGCATCCATAGCCATAATGCATAGTATTAGCATACAAAACCCCGACTCTCAACGTTTAAAGGTCCAAAACTTAAGCCTCTAAATATAAATTCAAACAATAAAAAACTAGGTTTAATGAGGGGAAAATTTAACTGACAACAGAAACCAAACAGAGAAGCTCTCTAATCAAAATGGGGAATAACTATGCTTTTTTAGGCACGAAGCCCCCTATGTAGACTGACCATGCGAGTTGAAGTCTCCTGAGATCCCCTTGAGGCTGAACCAGTCTGATAGCCAGTCCTCCCTGATCCGGCATATGCAGCATCTTGATAACGAGAGTTTTGCCCTGAGCCCCGGTACTGACCTGCTCGGTCCCTAGAATACCCACCACCAGCATTTTGGTTGAATGATCTGCCTCCAGTGTTGTATCCGGCACGCCCACTGCCACCACCTTGCCTTCCTTGATTGAAGGACAAGTTGTTGTCCTGCCATCTACCACCCCCAGCAGCTGTTCCAGTAGCATAGTCCTGGTTGTCTCTACGCCTTTGAGGTAGATCTAACCCACCACCACCTATCCTTGCTTCTGTTGCCCTTTCATTACTTTCTGCAAGGATTGCCAGCTTCTCAGTCAACTGGAAAGCTAGAGCCTGCAACCTAGTCTGCTCAATGTCATGGAAAACGATGCAACGTGTTGGCTGGTCCCAACTTGCAAAGAGCTCTTCATTGACCATCATCTTGCTAACAATGCTATGAATCTGGGCCTCTGAAAGGTCAAACAACTTCGTGAGTTGTTCCAAGCTCAGAGTCTTATAGGATGAGGAGTAGGTGAAAAGGTAGGTCCTCAGAGCTTCTTCCTTGATCTTAGCCTTGAGCATCTCAAGAACATTCTCACGGTTCGGGAGGAGCTTCCAAACATCAAGAGAATTGACGACATCAAAGGCCTTTTGGAAGTCACCTTTGCCAAGTGCCCTGGAAGCTGCCATCACATGGTCCCTTACATTTTCTGGGGGGCCCGTGAATGTTTGCTTCTCACTCACCTCAAGCAACCTCCTGAATGTCTTACTGATCAGTCCGCGCTTTGCATCATGGATGTTAGCTGCCATGTTAGGCACTTCCAGCAGCATGGCACATATCAAATGTACTGCCTCCAGGAGCTCAGGGTTTATATGCATATGGTAAGGCATTTGTCGTCTCCTCTCCAGCCTTTCCTGAAAACAAAAAGAACAAAAAAAATAAAAAAAAATACAGGGATGAAGGCAAAGTAAACTTAAAACAGTAATACTATATAGTCTGCCAAAAAGAAACTAATTTACTCTTCTAGTTCCCCATTTTCTACAACATGATGGCAAACCATCCTTTATTATTAGTTTCAGCTTTTCAGAATGCGAACCATATGTTTTTTCAAACTGTTTTGCTGAACTGAACAATTTCACTGACTTGTTCTATCAAATTCAATTGGTTAGTTTCACACGAATTTTAAATATGATGCCACGCCGCAATCTGAAAAATTGCAGCACCATAGGCATTTCAGATAACACACAAGGCAAAAATACCATAAAATTTATAACTCGCAGAATCAGGAAACCCAAAGAAGGTACAATGTTAGTTAAGACCAAAAACATTATATCTGCATTTAATCAGCCTGACCAGACCTAACGTAACACATCATCTTACACGAGTATTATGTCAGATGTGTTCGGTAAAAAACTCCTCCAAAGGAGCAAAAATAATGCTAAGAGGTTAAATACATCGTAAATAGTCACCAAAAAGGATACAACTTAAATGATTGGGTAATATTAGTAAGTGTCACCAGCACATTTGTCAGGAAAAGCAACTAGTTGCATACTTGGTCTAACAACTCCTAGTTGCAACTTCCCAGATCTTATTGCAAGGTGCATATAGAAATACAGAGAATATAACATTCCGAATTAATCAGCTATTCATTGATAATAGTTTTGGGGATACTAAGATTCTTCTATCATTTTCATCACTTCTTTATTTGGTTGTTGAAGAACAATGTCAACATATAACCATCAGCTAGTTCTGCAAAAACCCAACAAAAACCTAAAAAACTAAAATTCCAAACTTGTGGATATTTCTTTTCACATAATCTACTTGTGCAATTTTGGTTGGGTATTTACAGGGACAAAACAGTGGCTTCAGATCATATAGGGAGTAAGGATGATGCTATATAACCCTGATCTACCCCAACATTTTCCCAATACTCTCACATGGGTTTGGTCACACAATCATACGGGTCGTGCTCCCTGTAATTGGAAAAGAGTTGGGTTCTAAAGCATTTTCCTAGAAAGTAATATGCGCACAAGCATATAATATAAAAATATATAATAATAATAATAATAATAACCACTTGGAAAAACATAACAGAAGCACTGGCATACCTGTTCTGGAGTTTTCTCATGATATCTACTTTGTGAGACACCTTGTGCAAGCAACTCTTTTACTCTTCCGCCTGAATATAGTTCAGAAAGGCAACTATGCCCTTCAGTAATTAATCCACTACGAAATGCACACAGACCAAGTTGTGCCATGGCCCTATTATAAAGTATCTGAGTCGAAATGTCCATCTGCTGAATAATATCTTGCAGGTGACTCATTAGCAGCAAGTCACGGGCAGTGCAAAACTCATTCCGCAGAGCATGGTGGTAAATATCACAAAGCATTGCACGAACTTTAGTCCTCTCATCGCCATACTTGTATATGAGGGAAACCAAAATATCCATCATTGTCCTGCTACTCTCTGAAAAGGTAGGTTTTCGAGGAACCAGTTCGGGAATTACAATAAATGGAGATGGGCCGCGACTTTCCTCAGCCGCTTTAGGCTCTTCACCATTATCACTCTCTCCCGTCTGCTCAGACAATTTTCTCATGGCATCATAAACTTCCTGTGGCTTATAATAAATGAGTTCGACCCGCCTTAAGGCTACCTTGGCAGCAGCTTTGTAATTACCAACTCGTTCTAAATAATCTTGAACATTTTGAGCTAGACACAAAAACATAGGCTCATCCCTAAGTCTTTCAATGTACTCACGAGTATGGGGATCAATGCACTGCAAGCTCTTAAAAAACTCAGTATCTATCCTTTCTAAGAAGGCCACCAAGTTTCCCCAGACCCTAATTGTCCCATCATAATCTGGTCCTTTCTGGGATTCATTCTCATCAGGTTCCACCATGTCATCCACCGTAATGTTAGGATACTTCACAAGAATATCAAGTATAACTTGCATATTCTGCACGCACTTCTTCCACACATTTATTGGCATGTGCCCATTGAGACCAGGATTCACATCAAACTGAGCAGAAACAACACTAAAAAATATCTCCAGCTTCTGTGCAGGGGTCTTAGCAACCTTTGTCAAGAAGGTAAGCTGCTCAACCTGCTCAAACCTTCCAGTTCCCTTCCTTCCCCGAGCAGCCACAACCTCTTTAAATTTCTTGTTAACTGTATCCCATGTGATCTCGCTTGGGTCCTTCATGAATTGCCTATCCATGAGCTTGTCTTTCTTACTCATCTTCTTCTCCCAGCCTTCATCAGTTTGGTCATCCTTTTCATCTTCTTCTTCATCCCCATCATCATCACTATTTGACATTACAATATCAGTAGGATCCTCAATTTCAGAAACGGATCCGTCGTCTTCTGAATCCTCTTCTGCTTCCTTATCCTCGTCACTCTGCTCAGGATTCTCCCTATACTTATTAATCAATTCCTCATACTGCTTATTGTTCTTCTTCAATTTCTGCTTCATTGAGTTCAAGGCCTTGGCGTTGCTACTACTCATCTTCTTCTTAGCATCCTTGTTTGCCAAAGCCTGAGCCAAAAAGTCTTCCAACAATACAAGCGCTTTTATGTATAGAGTGGGTACTTTAACAGCCTCTGTAATACGCATGACCTTCTCAAGTTGCTTATTTATCTTGTCAAAGCTCTCTTGCAAGCTAACCCAGTCATTGATATTCATGGCATTCTTCATTTGGTG